ATGACCAAATTTGAACTTGACCTGCACATTCCTTTGACGTATTCATATGCCAGGTTTGAGTTGAATGACCAAATTCTAACTTGACCTGTAATTTTTTATGGCATAACTCTGCCAAAAATCATCGAACCATGACCAAATTCTAACTTGACCTGTAATTTCTCATGATATATCCATATGTCAAGTTTGAGTTGAATGTGTTGTATCGTTGGGGAGATAATGAACGGAAACTGAAATTTTCATATTATTTTCAATGTAAAAGGGGCATAACTCTGCCAAAAATCATCGAACCATGACCATATTTGAACTTGACCTGTATTTTCTCATGACATATCTATATCACGTCAGAATGGATTTGGAGAAATGTGGAGGGAAATTCACAATCGTGAGTTCAAACTTGTCAACTAAAGCTAAACGGACGTGCGCAGTGCAAACACAAGTTCACCACATTCTCAAACAATGAAAAAATCGTATGTAAGTATTTTGTTATGGTTGTTATTATATTATAATTCAATTCCAGCAATGAAATGCTCCAAACTGCCATTGTTTAGTTTGTATATACATGTTGACTGAAAGTGAAAATAGATGTGAGGTACCACGTGGGGAAAATTAAAGAAAAGTAGTCTCAATTTCAGAAACAGTGAAATTATATTTGGTAATTTTCACTAAGAAATTACCAAATATTATTTTCACAGAAATCTCAGTAATCTACTGAAAAGCATAAAAAAATCTTACAATGATCAATCCTATATATTTTTTTCAACACCAGAAACTAAACATAAATAAACCTACCGTGTTTTGAAATGTTTTGTGTTGAATCTGCTTTGGAAACAGCAATATTCAAAGCCTGAAATAAGATAGTAGTATGTCTGCCATTAGAAGATGTTTCATGCTAAATATCTTATCTTTGAGTTCTTTAAAAGAAGATTTTTTAAGTTTTTACTATAATTTATGCATATAGGGAAAATCAATGACCCCCTGGGGCGGAACCAATTTTGACCCCAGGGCTTTGATTTGAACAAACTTGGTAGACACTCTTTAGAAGATGTTTCATGCCAAATATCTAAGCTGAAAAATTTAAATCAGAAATCTTGAAATTCAGGCTATTTGTTTCCATAGCAACCAGAATTTTCAACATAGGAAGAAAAGAAAAAGATGCGCATAATCTCCAGACTGCCAGCTACCCATATTTCTAGTATATTCGGTAAAGAAATAACGAAGAAATCGATTTTTGAAATTTCCGTGACGTCACTTCCGGTGACTTTAAACTCGAATTACTCGAAAACGGTGAAAGATAGACCCATAAAACTATATATTTTCTTAATCAGCGCAACGAAACGGATCAATTGGTAAAAAGCTCTAACTTTTTTATTGACTTTTGCAATTTAGGGTTTAAAATCCCTCTTGTGTCATAACGCGAAAACGACTGAAAATCGAATCGAGAACCCCGGGTCAAAACGAAAGCTTTTGGCTCATTAGCTAGACTTTTTTTTTTGAAAAAAAAGTAGAGGTATTGTTATAGTCGGGTCGTGCCGTTGCCGTTGCCGTTCGCAAACTTGTACCTGGATCATAACTTTTTTATTTCTTGGTGTATTGTCTTCATACTTGGCCACAACAACCCTTGGGACAAGACCTTTCAGTAGAGCACACTAACCTTGACCTTCATCCATAAATGACCTTGACCTTCAAGGTTTAAAGTCCAATTTTAGCTTGTTCATGCTGTTATTGGCTGTAACTTTGTTATTTTTGAATGGATTGTCTTCAAACTTGAACATAATAATCTTCAAGGATATCCCTTAAATAACCCACCAGACCTTGACCTTCACTCATAAAAGACCTTGACTTTGAAGGTCAAATTATTGAAATTTTCATTTTTTTTTTGGCTATTATTGGCTGTAACTTTGTTATTTTTGAATGGATTGTCTTCAAACTTGAACATAATAATCTTCAAAGATAACTGTTAAAAATATACCGAAAGACTTTGACCTTCACTCATTAATGACATTGTCTTTGAAGGTCAAATTATTGAAATTTTCATTGTTTTGGCGGTAACTGACTGTAACTTTGCTATTATTGAAGGGATCAACTTCATATTATAACAGAACATTCTTAAGGACCAGATCTTGTTGTTTATCAAACCCAAATTTTCTTGGGCTCTTTAATGACCTTGACCTTGAAGGTTAAATTACTGAATTTTCTCAGATTTGTGCATTAAATGACCATAATTATATATTTATTGGTGTGTGTGTGTACGAGGGTTGTTCGGGAAGTTCTGAGAATTTTGTCATATCTCCTATATTTTTTTTTTCTAAGACGTACTATTTTGCACATACTAAGATTAGCATATCACGGAACTATTCCTTAAAATTGAATAGAATCAGACAACAATAGCCGGAAATAGCAGTAACCATAGCAACACTATAACGCCGCACCGGAGCAGTCCGACTCTAAAGAAAGGTTTAACGCGCTAAACTAATAATATTTCGTAATTTTGATAACGTAAAAAATGCGCGAAAACGCTGGTCAGCAGCGGAACGTCATGACGTCATTTCCTGAAAATATCATAACTTTATTTAAATTCTCAACGGATCAACATTGTTTTAAAGTTGTTGCCCAGAGCCACTGAGTAAACAACATGACGTCGATATGTGACGTTGAATTGCGAAGCATCGTGAAATTTTGTGTTGCGCTGGAAAAGTCTTCCACAGAAACAATGAAAATGATCAATTCTACAGGAATACAAGAAATGCAGTCCGGCTACAGTGTGTAGATGGCATGCTCGTTTTAAAGAAGGAAGAAACTCGATCGAAGACGATCCTAGATGCGGTCGGCAGTCTGTTGTTGCATGTTCAATTAAGGACTCGGTAAAGGACATGATAAATTGCGACAGAAGAACGACAGTTAGAGCTATTGCAGATGAACTTTGCGTATCAGTTTCTACTGTACACGGAATACTAATAAGTGGATCAGCCGACACAGGAAATGCATCGAAATTGCATGTGACTACGTTGAAAAGGTGCGACGATCGATGGACTTTAACGTCGCATAACGTTGCAAATGACGTCGGCGTGCTCCGGATGTTTGTTATATGGTTGTTTACTATTTTTATTATGTTTTAGTTTCTGTGTGTATGATGATGATATTTTCAGATACTGTACAGTATATATTGAAATAAATGCGTATGTATTTATATTTACGCTAACCCGACTACAACGTGTGCTATAAAACAATTCTCAGAACTTCCCGAACAACCCTCGTGTATATATATATATATATATATAATATATATATATATATATATATATATATATATTCACAACAAAAACAACAAGAATTTCGTAATGTTTCTATTTATAGAATTGCGTCAATGTTTCTATTTATAGAATTGTGTCATTGTTTCTATTTATAGAACTGCGTCATTGTTTCTATTTATAGAATTGCGTCATTGTTGCTATTTTTAGAAATTGCGTCATTGTTGCTATTTTTAGAAATTGCGTCATTGTTGCTATTTATAGAAATTGCGTCATTGTTGCTATTTTTAGAAATTGCGTCATTGTTGCTATTTATAGAAATTGCGTCATTGTTGCTATTTTTAGAAATTGCGTCATGTTGCTATTTTTAGAAATTGCGTAATGTTGCTATTTTCAGAAATTGCGTTATGTTTCTATTCATATATATATATATATATATATATATATATATACAAAATATATAAACAAAACTAATGTGACAAGACAGACCAACTAAATTTATAAAAAGGAAACGTTAAGATATGTTCAAACCTTTCTATGTTTGCGTTTAGAAAAAGTAAAAAGTCGAGCGTTGCCCCCGCCCGGCGGTGGCTCTTGTTTTATCTTATAACGACTTTATTTCAAAAATTTTGAGCGTAAACGGTTGCCCAAACGATAAAAAAACCGGTTAATAGCTTAATTGTATTATAACTTTCATTCAAAATCACTTTACAACTTTCGTATACATAAGTGTATTATAAATTTCATTCAAAAATAATTTTCGTATAAAAAATAGGAATCTGAAATGTTCATAAAAGTCACAAAATTTGACCAGTTGCTTAGGGCAACCTTTTTTAAAATATGCAATCAGTTGACCGTAGCATGCACTTAAAAGGAACCTAATTAAGGGTGTACAATGTATGAAATGTTAAAATATGTTAATGCATGCGTAGCAATTTCTTGTTGATGAGTTTTTACTTGACGGTCGCTGCGTTTGAAAGGATAATAAATTCTTTCATCTGTTGTGATTAATGAAAAGTTATATTTAGTATCGAAGGATAAAGGGTTTTTGTTCAACATAGTTCCGCTAGGTATTGTAAATCTAGACTGAGCGGCGGCCTCCTCTTCTGGGTGCCTCTGCGTGGTGAGGAGGAGTGGCATGTGTCCGTTGTGGGGGTGCGCTGCTGTGCGCCTGTGTGACGGACATGTGGCCAACACCCAGACTGCCTGTTTGCCGTGGGCAGCGTCCCGTGGCCTGGAGGGGAGGGTCCTGGTGGTTGGGGGATGCCCAGGGATCTCCAGTACTCCCAACACACTGCTTTGGCCTCTGATTTTGGGTGGACGGGTGGCTAGGTGGGCCTGGCTTTTTGGTCGGTCGGCTGGTCATGCCTTGCCCTTGGATATATGTTTCTGAATCGATTGCAGATTTCATTGAACTTGCACGGTCCCGAAATGAATACAATTCAAAGCACATATTTTGATTCCTACTTGTGATTCTAGTATACCTTTCAATTCCTACTAAAACTGTAATTATTGGTGCCGTTATGTTACAGCAATCTTTCACATTTGCATTATGGATGCAGTATGGCATGTCCGGGGGGGCGGTGGCTGGTGGGCTGATTGTGTAAGTTGTGGTTGTTTGCAATCTATGCGAGTGTATCTCTCTGGTAGCCTTGTTGTGCGGAGGCTTGATATCCGTCTCCATCGCACATCCCCGTGTTGGGGTCCGGGGTGGCTGGGGGGCCCGGGAGACGAATTTTTCATATATTTATCATGGATTCCCAAACCAGGAGGCGAGGGTCGCGGGAGGATTCGGTTTGTGACGGTTCGGTTGATGGAGGTTTTCCCCGTGTTCTGATGGTAGGGTCGGGTAGCTCGGAATCACTAACTGAACTTGGCCCTTTCATTGTGGAAGGGCGGCTTTCAGCTTTGGTTGGTGCGCCTGAATCTGTCGGGAGGCTCCGCAATGGTGGGCTCTTGGTGGAGGTGGAGCGAGGGCAACAAGCGGAAGGTGTTTTGAGGTGCGCGGCCTTCTTCAGTATCGAATGTGCTGACCTTGCTGGAGTGGCGGAGAATGGTATTGCTGAAGAGTTGGGGTCGCAGCAGGTTTCAAGAGATGGTGGTAGGGTGCCAACGAGTAGCCTTGTGGTTGCATTCTCTACACCCATGCTTCCATCATCGATTCGAGTGGGTTGCCTTGGGGTTCGCGTTGTGGTTTGCATTCCGAACCCATTGCGGTGTTGCAAGTGCTTCAGGTTTGGTCATCATGAATCGGGTTGTGCAAGGCGGACTATTTGCCGCAGATGCAGTTCGGACCATGACAGGAATGAGACTTGTGGCGTTCCTGTTGGGTGTGCCGGCTGTGGAGGAGGGCGTTGCGCCACCTCCCGGTCGTGCCCCTTGTGGTTGGAGGAGGGGGGGATTCTACGTCAGAAGTGTACGCGGGATGTTTCCTTTCAAGATGCACGAGGGCTTGTTGAATCACAAGGACCGGAACAATGTCGTTTTTGGGCTGGGGTTGGGAGGGTTTTTTGGGAGGGTTGACTTGCAGTGCAGGTGGGCTTATGTCGGTTTTCCCCCCAATTTAAGTTCCCCTTTACCCAAGATACAGTTCACAAAAAGCAGTTACCTTTTGTGCAGACTCAGTCCCCCAAAAGTCCCCCCAAAGAAAAATCCAAGCTTTCAAATACATTTTCTGAGAAAGTTATTAAAAAACAATCGCCAAAGGCGAATTGTCATCACAGATCGTTGGGAAGCGGTACCGTCAACACAAAACCCCTTTTCGTATTCCACCCCAAGATTGGAGGAGAGGTCAAACCTTTTCCCCCCCTCCCTCCGAAAAAAAACCCCAAAAAAGTTTCCTAAATTTAAAAATTTTTTAAAATGGTTAGGATTCATCCCTAAAATTTGCGTGGTCTAAAGCAAAATAATGTCCTAAAACCTACCCTTTTATCAAAACTATATCCCCGCTTATGTCCAGGAGACCATGTTATCTCCTAAAGATAATATCTCTATAAAAGGTTATACACTATATAACTATATATGCACTAGTAACGCCAGAACATCAGGTGGTACAAGCATTGCTATCGCAAATTGCGTTCCACAAAAAGAACTAAAACTTAATACAAGATTACAAGCCACAGCTGTGCAGGTGACCTTACATCGACCTCTAACAATTTGTTCTCTATACCTTTCTCCAAAACATAACGGTAACAAGTGATGAACTTGAGAGTATTGTTCGACAATTACCATCACCTTTCCTTCTCTTAGGCGACTTTAATGCTCATAATCCTATGTGGGGCAGTTCATCTACAAATAACAAGGGTAATATAACTGAAAAATTTGATAGATAACTTTCAGCTTTGTTTATTAAACAATCGGTCACCTACATATTTACATCCAGCTACAGGTACGTTTTCTTGCATCGACCTCTCGATTGTCCACTCTGCTATATTCTTGGACTTCGATTGGAAAGTGTTAGATGACCAGTACGGCAGTGATCATTTTCCATTGTTACTTACATTAAATGACTCTATACCAGATGAAAGACATCAATTTTTTAAATTTAAGAAAGCAGATTGGGAAACATTTTCTAGGCTCTGTTCCATTGATCTAACAAAAAATGAATTTAATTTCACTTCTGCTGATATAGCTGAAACGTTTTCTTCAGCATTACATACTATTGCCTGCAAAGTTGTTCCATTAACAAAAAAATAATAGTAACAAAATCAAAAAAGCCATGGTTTAACGATGAACGTAAAAAAGCTGTTCGCATACGTAAAGCTTCACTAAAAAAGTTTGAACATCGCCCTACAACAGAAAACCTTGAAAATTATAGAATATTTAGAGCTAAAGCTAGAAGATCAATTCGTTTGTCTAAACGCAAATCCTGGCAATCATATGTTTTCAAATATTAATTCAAATACTCCTATTAAGAAAGTTTGGGATGCAGTACGGCAAAATAAGTGGTAAGTTATAAAAAGAGTCCAATTGTTCACTTAAAAACTGGTGATGGCCAATATGCCAAAACAAAAACGGATATTGCAGAAACTTTGGCTAAACATTTGAAAAGAACTCTTTTTCAAACAAGTATTCAAATGAATTTCAACAACACAAATGTAAAGCTGAGAAAGAACATATTAATTTTACTTCAAGAAATGACGAAGACTATAATTCCCTTTTCTCTATTGACGACTTAATTTATTCAATTAAAACTGCAAAAGACAGTGCTGCAGGCCCGGACGAAATTTACTACCAGTTTCTTAAACATCTACCGCCCCAATCTCTTGACTTGCTTCTTGAAATTTTTAACAGAATTTGGGTTTCTTGTGAATTTCCTAACACTTGGAAAAATGCGTTGGTTATTCCTATCCCTAAACCTGGAAAAGATTCAACTGACCCTACAAATTATCGCCCAATTTCACTGACAAGTTGCCTCTGCAAAACTTTTGAAAGAATGATAAATAATCGGTTAGTTTGGTATCTAGAAAATAATGGAATTATTACTAATTTTCAGTCAGGTTTTCGTAAACAGCGAAGTACAAACGATCATCCTGTACGACTTGAAACTTTTATTAGAGAAGCCTTTGTAAAGAAACAACACCTGGTATCAATTTTCTTTGATCTTGAGAAGGCTTACGATACTACTTGGAAATATGGTATCCTAAAAGATCTAAAGAATGCTGGACCTAAAGGCAGACTTCCTCTTTTCATTTCTGGATTTTTAAACGATAGGCACTTTAAAGTAAGACTTGCTTCAACTTTTTCTGAGGATCACCAACAAGAACAAGGTGTTCCTCAAGGAAGCATACTTTTTGTTACACTTTTTGGCCTTAAAATAAACAATATTGCTAGCGCTCTTACACCAGGCATAGATTGTTCTCTATATGTAGATGATTTTCTTATCTGCTATCGATCGAAAAGTATGAGAACAATTGAAAGGCAACTTCAACAAAATTTAGATAAAATCCAAAAGTGGGCAATAGAAAATGGTTTTAAATTTTCAAAGTCAAAAACTCAATGTGTTCATTTTTGTCGATTGCGGAAACACCATAATGACCCTGAACTTTACATATCTGGTTCTAAAATTCCAGTAGTTGATGAAGCTAAGTTTTTAGGAATTATATTTGACAAAAAACTTTCTTTTATACCACATATTAAACATTTGAAAACTAAATGCCTTAAAGCTTTAAATTTACTTAAGGTTTTATCAAGTACAAATTGGGGATCAAATTCTTCCACATTACTGAAATTATACAGAAGTCTTATCCGATCAAAATTAGATTATGGTTCTGTTGTATATGGGTCTGCAAGAAAATCATATCTTCAAATGCTAGATACCATACATCAACAGGGTTTACGCTTAGCTTTAGGTGCATTACGCACCTCACCTGTAGAAAGTCTATATGCGGAAGCTGGGAAACAATCGCTTCAACTTCGTCGAAAAAAGCTATCACTTCAATATGCAACTAGAATTTCATCAAATAGCAAAAATCCAGCCAAAAATATTATTTTCAAACCAAATTATATTGAAAAATTTGTTAACAAACCAAAGGAAATTAAACCATTAGGCCTTCGTTTAAAAGATGATTTAGATAAACTTAAAATTGATCCTGTCAGTATCCTTCAAAATGACGATGAGGATGTTCCACCTTGGACTTATAATTCCCCTGAAATAAATATTAACCTTTCAAATATAAAAAAGACATCAAATTCACATGAACATTTCAAAAAGAAGTTTCTAGCAATTAAGGAAGAACATGAAAATTTTATACATATTTGTACGGACGGTTCAAAGGAAGGTTGCAAAGTAGGTGCGGCTGTGTATGAAAATGATTTTACATCTAGTATGAGGTTACCAGATAATGCATCAATTTTTACTGCTGAAGCAAAAGCTATAGATTTAGCATTGTCATACATAGAACAGCATACCCATGATAAATTTGTGATATTTTCTGACTCGCTTTCTGTTTTAATATCCATTAAAAATTAAACATCTGACAATATCATGATAAAGAAACTTCTTTTGCGATTTCATGATATACTTAAAATAAAATCTGTTAAATTATATTGGATTCCAAGTCATGTAGGTATACGAGGAAACGAAAAAGTAGATGCTTTAGCTAAACAAGCTTTAAATTTTCAAAAAACTGACTTATTGTTACCTGCTTGTGATTTTAGAACGGCTATAAATAAACTCGTTTCATCTGAATGGAACGCAAATTGGGACAATGCCGTCTTTAATAAACTTCATGATATAAACCCATCTCTTGATGTGTCACCATCTCTGTCTTTGTCAAACCGCCATGATCAGACAGTTCTTCTTCGATGCCGAATTGGACACACTAAAGTTACCCATTCTTTTCTCCTCACGAATGACAATGCCCCTTTCTGTGTAGGCTGTAATGAAAATTTTACTGTCAAGCATTTTCTTCTGGAATTTCATGATTTTTCACAAGCCCGTAACAGATTTTATAATGTAAACTCACTCAAAGAACTCTTTAATACAATTCCATTCAAAAAACATCATCGATTATTTGAAAGAGATAAATTTGTGTTTAAAGATCTGATTGGCTCTTTTTTTATTTTTATTTACAACGTTTTACATAATAGTTTAAGCCTATTTTAGCATTCGGCACGATATGGCCATTTATGTGTTGACGTGCCGTAAAATCCAAACAAACAAACAAACTGAGCGGCGGCTGTACTTAATGCCCAATGCTTTTTTTCATTGACACCTGCGAGGGGCTGATAAAATAGCTCCTGGTGATTGTGAAATACCGCGACTAAAAATAGATCGGCACATGCGCAGTCTACAAGGACGCTACGCTATGACACTCATTTCCTTACTAAATGTAGGTAAGTAAATAAGTTATATTTTACAAATGTATAAATATTATTTATTTTGAACATATTAAAAAACTCTTTGTATTTAACTCTTTTATAAATTAAAATGTTAAGCACGTATCTATTTACAAACATTTCTTTTATCTGTAATGATGGTAATTATCTCTCCGTCTAGGGCCGAGGACCTGACCTACAATGTCCGCGATTCAAGCCCTAAGATCGTGTATACGAGTCAGCTCCGTATACTTCCGGGAGATTAAAAATAGATTTCTAAAAAAAGACGAGTGATCACATTCTAAAAATAGAACGATGGTGTCATTCTAAATATAGAATTCAATATGGCGCCGCGCATGTGCAGTCGTGGCGTTAAAGAGACGTCTATACTACTAACGAGTGCCACTGTGTTAAAAAGCTGAATATATCATATACTAAAACATTGCTACAGGTCCTTTACCAAGTATATAATTATATGGTTATACGTATAAATAACTCTTTACAAAAGAATAACCTTTGACTTCAAAATTACCGCGTTGAGGCGTAACCACGAATGGAAGTGATCCTGAACGTGCACGTTCATTGGACAGGCTAGTTAAGTCAAACCGAGCCTGCAACATTTTCAATTTTGCCGTTTTGGGCGATATTTAGGGATTCTGTTCTCTCTCTGCTTTAAATATTCCACGTTTAGTATTGCTACATGA